GTGCAGTGGGGGTCCTGGGTGAGTGGCTGTCCCCCGCCCCACCAGCTTGTCGCACTTATTCACAGGCCCTGCCCGAGAGCCAGAAGCTTCTCTGCTCCCTCGGCCACCCTTCTCCTCCCTTCTCTCCTCCTTCTGCCTTCTAGACCACTCCCTGGCTGGGCGGGGGGGGGGCCCGGGGCCCGGAAGGGAGGGCCTGAAGGTCCAGGGCACACGGCTGGTAACAGAAGACAGCGTTCATCCCAGCCACACTGGACTTCGAGTCCAGTGCCCTTTCTGTACTGCCAAATTGCTTCTCAAAGAGCAACAAATTCAAGGACCTGTCCCCTTTGTCCCATTTCCTTCTCATGGACTCTGTCACCTGCTCTGTCCTCTCTTCCTTTGTCACCTGCAGGAGCTGGGCATCTAAAGGCCCAGGAGGGGTGCCCAGGGCAGGATGAGATCAGAGCAGACAGAGGCCTCGGGAATCGGGGCGACACCCCCTTTTAGCTAGGTCTGCCTCTGCAAGTCTATAAATTCCATTATTCATCAAGTGACTGTGTGAGTTTGCCCAGCCAATGAATATTTTATCCACCTCCAGACACTGTCCCCAGTGGGCCCTTGGAACAATATTGTTCCCTAGCCAAGGAGCAGAGGCCAGAACCTCTGCCCTCCCCGGACACCCTTCCCCCACTCCATTTACTTCCTGTCACCCCCAGCAGCCCCCCAGTTCAAGCAGGGCTGCAGTCAGCAGTCCTGATGTGACCTTGAGCTTGGGGCTTGCCATCCCTCCACTTTGATTTTCTCCTCTGGACAATGGGTTCGTTTACTGCCTTCTCAGGCTCTGTGTCCCTGATAAATTCACCCTACTCTGCAGGGCCTCGGGCTCTGCCAGGAGCTCTCCCTGGTGCTGAACAGGAGTCGTCAGCGAACGCTGGCCTCAGAGGAGCCCGCCCTGGACCCGGGAGAGTGGGGAGCATGTTGGTTTTGACAGGAGAGGGCTCCTGTCTCTGGGAGGGAGGCATCCAACCTCTGGGAAGAATGGTCCCCACTTCTTTCTCTCTGCCTCCCTGCCACTTGGTGGATTCTTCCAGAGTCACAGATGGGTTACCTCTCCTAGTGTCTCCAGCACTCTGAGCCAGGTACTGGTGGGTGAGGTCTGTGAGACCCTTCTCAGGAGGGTCTCACAAGTGTCCTGGTGAGGCACTGCATCCCAGGGAGTGTGGCGTGATGGCAGCAGCACCTTCCCCAGATGGGGGAGCGACAGACATAAATCACACCCTGCAATCACGCCATCTGCTCCCCAGCGATGTGCAGAGAAGAGGACAGGGTTGCAGTGCCAAAGGGCTGGTGGGCGATCGATCGCTCATTCACTCATTCATTCATTCTCTCATTCATTCATTAAGATGTTCATGCAGCCCCAGCTCCCTTCCTGAGCCCAGCCCAGCCTTGTGCCAGGTACAGGATCTGGGGATGCAACCTAGACCCTGTCCCTCAGAGCTGAGGGTGGTCCTCACCTTCTGAGCTTCTGCCCACCCAGCTCCTCCTGGAGTGCCCTTAACCCACAGTAAGAACCACCGTTTCCATGCACTGAGCACTCAGGTGTGGGATCTAAGTGTTCACACCGGGGGTTCGGTGTGCTCTTATAATTTAACAGGTAAGCTCAGCCTCAGAAAGGTGAGTGTAGACACCAGAGTTCACGTGGCCAGCTCTGGGTTCTCCATGCAGAGCTCTTGCTGCTGTGACACTGCCTCTCCCACACCGTGTCAGAGAGTTTTCAGGCCCCGTCTTCACGTCCTTCCTCTGCAAAAACCGCGCCCCGCCTCTCTGCTGCCCTCAGCCATGTGTCCAGCCCTCCGGCACTTGCTGTGTGAGCCCCAGGTGGGAGTAGCTCCTCCTCATCCTCTGACTCCCAGCCTGGCTTTCTCAAAAAACCTGGCACCCAGGTGCACAGAAGTAGAAGAGGTTGACAGAGGGTTACAGAGAGGGCAGCATTCCTCTCAGCCTGAGAGGGAGGTCAGGGAAAGATCAGCATGGCTCGGAGCCTGGGCCCTGGCCCCACCCTGCTCCCACCTTGAGCTTGAACCCCCAGCTCTCCCCATATGGCTGCATGACTCAACCTGGTCTCTTCTGTGCCCCTGTGCACGAATGGGGGCAACGCTAAACTACCTTTAGCAGGTCACCTGCACAGCCAGGTGTAGCTCATGTATCCATAGCAGAAGGGGAGCAGTGTAGCTGGTGGCAGGTGAAAGACTCATGGGCTCGTGGCCAGCTCTGTGGGCCTTAGCTTTGCGCCAGGGGAGAGGACAGGGACTGGGGTTTCAGGAATGTGCAAGCAGTGGGGTGCACTAGAGCCTTGGGACTATAATCCCCATCGAGTCCTGTCCCTTGGGCCTGGTGGAGCCCGCTCCAGAGAGCCTGGTCACAAGGCAGACAGCCCAACCCCTGGGCCACAGACAGAGGCTGAGGCCTGGAGGAGGCCCGTGTCAGACCCGCCGGCCAGCCACGTGAAGTAGGCCCACCCACTTGATTTTTATTCGATTCATCTCGGGGACCGTTTCTGCCCCATCCTTTGAAATTCTCCACCTTGGCAGCAAGGCTGGGAGCCACAGGGGACACAGCAGAAGGTGCCCCTCCATCAGGCAAGTAGAACACTAACATGCTCTGCGGCGGCCTCTCAGGGAGTCCCCAGGAGCCGTGCAGCCCGCTAGCCTGTCACAGGCTCCAGCCCACCCTCCCTCAGTGCGGGATTTTGAACTCGATTGCGTGGGCTGGGGTGGCCTGGAGTGAGCTACTGCAGCTCACGCTCTCAATCAATACATGGCAGCTATAATTATTATTAATTCATATTTCTCAGGGGGGTTATCATTCTAATAGGAAATTCCCAAGAGGCATAGGGAGGCGCTGCCAGGCACCTCTCATCTGTCACACCGCGCCATGCTCACCACAGCCTGGGAGGTGGCATTCCTGCCTCCCCTTCACAAGGGGAAAACCGAGGCCCCGGGAGGTTAAAGGAGGTGCCTAAGTTCCCATAGCAAAGAGGTGGTAAATGCAGGAGCCTTGGGGGTAACTGGCTCAAGTTCTAAATTCTTACAGCCTCACTCCTCCGCTGTACCAGGAGGCTGGAGGGAGCTCAGAAGCACTCAGCTCCAATGGCAGAACGTCAAACAGCGGGACAGGCCGACAAGGAGGGCTTTCCTGGGCCTCTCAGAGCCCCACGCACAGTCATGATGCTCACCCGACTGGGGAGACAAATAGCTGGGGTCCTTCCTGACTCCTCTGCAGGTTTCGGGTGCTGTTGGGGGCCCCCTCCAGAGCTGTGCCAGAGAGTGCTGGGGACCAGGCCTGGCCCAGCCCAGCTCAGCAGACCTGGCATCTCTCCCTGAGCCCCCTCTCCCCAGGCCCCAAGACAAGGCTGTGATTAATCAGCAACAAAAGCAGAAACAAGCAGGAAAATGTAATCAGTTTGGGAAGGGCAGATCAGGCAGGGCTGTGGCAATCTGCTTTCCCGCTGGGGCCACGGGCTGATAATGGACCAAAGAGGGCAGGGAGGTGGTTCCGATGGGGCCTCCGGGGACAGGCCCCACAGCTGGGGCCACAGCAAGGCTAGAGGGTCATCCCCTCTGCCATAAATATGCACTCAAATCTGCGCATACATGCCCAAGCCACTCCCAGCCCCAGGTCTGCACCCTGCCCCCCACCTGCCGAGGCTTCTGCCAGCCAGCTCCTGCCCTCCCCTCCCCTGCCAGCTCACAATTTCGGCACATACAGGTGTCCAAACACTCCTGACCCACGTCCATTTGCACGTGGGCTTGCACACTTGTACACACCCTCACGGATAACAGATGTATGCACACACATGCTGTGTCCCATGAACATCCGCCTCCTCACATCGATGAGCACGCATGTTCTGGGGTCTGGATGAGCCCTGCACACACATTAGGTCTACCTGAGGCCATGTGAACTGACAGACAGGCCCTCACACCAGTCCCCACAGACACCCAGCCACCTACCTCTCTGTCCCTGGATGTCCCCCGGGGCCATGAGACAGACCCTGGCTCCCCCTCCTCAAGCTAAGGTGCAGGGGCTTGGGAAGGAGCAAGGACTGAGGCTGTGCTGCATCGGGGAAGGTCTCAGCCACAGGGCAGGGGCGCCTGCCCCAGACCCTGACCAGCTCCTGCCTGCCTCCCCTGCTTCATGACCTTGGTAAATGCCCTCTCTCTTGGCCTCAGTTTCCCCACCTTCGAGCCTCTCCCGGCACCAACACTGCGTGACTCTCCTCGAGGACTCAAACGCCTGAGACCGACCTATCCTTGCTGCTAGGTCTCTGGTCCTCGGGTCCCTGCTCTCAGTTCGAGGGCTGCGGGGGGCGGGCCAGGGGACAGGGAGAAAGGGCCTCACCCCATCTTGGTCCTGGTGGCTGGGGTGGGGGGCGAGCGATCCTCCCCCGGGAGAAAGGGGCAACCGGGGTAAGGGGTGCAGGAACCCCCAGCGGGTTTGGGGCGGCCCCTCAGGGGCCGGCGGCGGGAAGGGGCGGGCAGCGCGGAGGGGGCGGGCGGACAGGCGGCGGGCGGGGGAGGCGGGAGCGCAGCCAGCCCGGCACAGAACAAGCGAACGAGCAAGCCGGGGAGGCGGCGAGAGCCGGAGCGGCGGGCTGGGCGGCCGCGCGGGCCAGCGGACGAGCGGGTGGCGAGCAGCGCGCAGCGCGCGGGGCACCGAGGAGCGGGCGCGGCGGGCGCAGCGCTGGGCAGCCGGAGCAGAGAGGCCCGAGAGGCGCCGCCCCCACCATCCCTGAGGGGCCCCGGCCCGGAGCCCTACGAGGGAGGGGGCGGCATGGACCGGCGGCTTGGGGCGCGGGGGCGCTAGGCCCCCAGACGGGTGGCACCTCACCTCGTCGCTGCTGTCGCCGCCGGGCCGCCCTTCACAGCTGCGCGCCCTGCCGGCTCCAGCCGCCCCCCGGGCCGCCGGCCCATGAGCCCCGACCTCAAAGTTTGCGGCGGGCGGGCGGGCGCGCAGCCTCCAAAATGCCGTTCCACCCGGTGACGGCGGCGTTGATGTACCGGGGCATCTACACCGTGCCCAACCTGCTGTCGGAGCAGCGCCCGGTGGACATCCCCGAAGATGAGCTGGAGGGTAAGTACCCCACCGGGACCCCTGCCGGCTGGCCCTCCTACCTGTGCGCCCAGGTGAAGCGCGGGCTAGGGGCTCAGGGGGGCGCGGGGCTGTCCGCAGGTGCCTGCTGCCAGGTGGGCGCTCCAGCGAGCAGCTGCGCATAGAGGCCGGACCAGCTCGCACCCCGGAGCGCCGCGGCGAGGGTCGCCAAGGCGAAGGGGCGGCCCAGCTTCTGCCCGCGTGGTCCCCAGCGCTGCGGAAACTTGCTGGGTCCCGCAGCGGTGTCACGGGGCCGTGCAGTCCGCGGTGACGGTGCGGCAACGCGACAGGTTGGGGTAGGGGTCCGAGCTGCGCCCGGGCGCCGGCCCAGCCGGAGCACCCGCGCGTCCGGATACCCTCCGCGGCGCCAGCCCGCGGCTCTGCGCTCGCATTGATATTCCACTCGTGTAGCTTTTAAAATCCAATCTGCTCCGGCAGCTGGAGAAGGGGAGAGGGCAACTGCCCTGCTTGCCGACTGCGGGGCTGCCCCCCAGCCCCTCCTGCGGCCTTAGCTTCTTCCGCACAGCCCTGCGGCGACCCCCAGCCCCGAGCTCGGGAAGGCGGCCGGGGAGGTGGTGGCGACAACAAGTGGCCAGATTCGGCGGCTTGGTCGTGATAACCAAGCCTTGAAAAGGGAAGGCAGAGAGGCACCCCCAGTCTCTCTGCCTCTGGACATGAATGGGGACTTTGGGCAGCGGTCTAGGTGAGCTGGGAGCAGAGGGCAGGGGCTGCGGTCCGCTGACCGAGGCTTCTGGGGAGCAGTGAGACCCCCGGGGCCTGGGAGCTCTTTCCCTACTGGGATGGGGGGCAAGTGATCAGGTTTCCCCTGACCCCAGACCTCCTGGGGCCCCATAAGAAGTGAAGTCGGGGGGTGGGGGGTGCTCCAGGTTGGTGGGATCCTTGGCCCCCGGGTCTCCTTGTCTGGTGTTGGGGGAGGGGCTGAGATTACCCAGCGGCCGGGCCTCGTTTGGAGTTACTTGGCTCCGAGGTGTCTGCGATCTGAGGCTCAACAGAGTCTGGGGGAGGGTTGCAGCGGAGACACCAGCGCAGATGGGGATGGTGGGAGCACGTTGGATCGCGCGGAGGCCTGGAGCGGGCAGGTCCTGGGCAAGTCAGCCCCGGCTTAAGGGGAAGATCAAGGGGGCACAGGCGGCTCCCATCCCCGCAACCGCACCACATGCTGTGGGCCACCTGCTCCTCACCAGGTGCCCCCCGAAGCTCCCAGAGGCCAAGAGAGCCACGGAAATGGGTTCTGGGGTCTGACGTGGGCAGGACAGATGGATGGCTGCAGCTCTTGGGTCTTTGGTCTTGAACCCTCAAACCCAAATCCCTCCCCTGTCTGGGCCAAAGTCCACGAACCAGAGCCTTGTCCAGGGCCTGGGACAAAGAGGGAGTATGATGAGGACAGGGCATGGGGCATGGGGCATGGGCTGTCTCTTCCCTAATGTCCCCTCCTGCTCCGGGCCACCCGAAACCTCCTGCCAGCACCCCCTATTGCAGGCTCTCACCTGCTCCCTCCTCACCACTGAGGCAGGGGTTAACACTGTCCCCTCACACCCCAGGCAGCTTCCACCTCAGTCCCTCCCCATGCTCCCAGCCCCCCTCCCCACCATGACGCTGGCAGCCTTGCCGTGGTCCTCACTGGGTCCCACTTCTCCCAATCTTTCAGGCCTGAGGGGAGTCTAAGATGCAGGGGTGAGTGGGGCACAGGTCAGGCAGTGCAGGGGCTGGGAGGACGCAGCTGCCCGTTGGGCTGCCCGGCGGCTACACGGCAGGGGCCCAGGCGCGTCAGCCGCCAGCCACACCAAACATGCCCCCTGCTCCATGCCGTCCTCTTCTCCTGGGCCCTGGGGAGCAGAGGGGCCTGGCCCGGGGGGCATCTGAAGGGCAAGGCCCTCCTTGGTGTGAGCAGGCAGGGGCTGTGGAGCAAGCAGATGCCTAGGTGGCCCCAGCCCATCTCCTGACCCACGGACATCCACAGAGGAGGGCAAGAAGTCCCCCACGACTGACCCCTTTCTTGGCCGAAGTCATTCCAAAAGCCCTCCTTCTAGGAGACCAAGTTTCTGTAGGCCCCAGTGACCCCTGGATGCCAGGGCTGTGCGGACAGGGTGACCATTTCTGGCACAGATTCCCCCTCCACCTACTTCACTGCCTCCTCAGTGCCCCATTAGTGCTTTTGCCCCAGGGCAGTCTGGGTAACACCCAGGCCCTTTCCTGGGAGGATGCCCATCAGTGGGGGAGCCACATGTGTCGAGAAGAGGGAGCCTGGCAGCTTGGGATGAAATGCTGCAGACAGTATGTGTCTGCCGCAGAAATCCAGGGGGCGGTTAGTCCAAGGGGGAGGAGGACCGGAAAGGGAGGTGGAGAGCTCAGGGTTAAGATCAGGGCTTTCCAGGCAGCACTGGGTCCGAGTCTCTGCACCCCTGCCTCACGGAGGGACCTCAGGCAATCCCTTGCCTCTCTTGCCTCGGTTTCTCCATCTGTAAAAGGGGTTTGGCATTGCCCCTCCTCAGGGCAGTTGGGGACTCAGGGCAGTGGATGTGATGGAAGTGCTCAGTGCGGGGGCCTGACAGGCAGTGGGGACTGGACAGACGCGGCAGCAGGGGAGGCCAAGGAGGCGGCTCTGCAGGGATTGGAGCCTGGAGTGTAGAGGGATCAGTGGAAGCTCAAGAGGCAGGGCTGCAGGGCATGCAGTAGACGTGGCTGGGAAGAGCTGGCCTGGGAGCACCTGCCGCTGTGGGAAGCTCCCCCAGATTCTCCTTGTACCTCCTCCCCAACGTTCACATACAGCAGAGAAGCCCCAGACCTGCAGGAGCACTGAGCCTGGCCCCAGTGGCATCATGGGACGTGAGCACCCGAGGGTGGAGACGGGGCACCTGCACGCTGCAGTCCTATCCTCTCTGCCAGAGGAGGGAGGAAGCAGACAGGCAGCCGCCAGGGCAGGGTTCTGAGGCTGGCACTTGGCCTGCTCAGTGGGACAGTGGAGCCTGCATCGAGAATGGCCAGATAGGGGCATTTGGCAAGTGGGGTCAGGGGAGCCCCATTCATGCCCCTCTTTTCTGCAAGCCCAGCGGCTGCCTCTGCATGGGCCAGAACGCAGGGAGGCTGAAGTGATGGGGCGCTGGGCCAACGTCTCAGAGAGCGCCAGTCACTGCAGAGGACAGACACTGTCCCAGCCCCGCAGTGACCTCCAGCCCACGCACCCCTCTCTGGATTCCAACTCTCTAACAGTGCTGGTGTCCCTTGGAGCCTGTTGGAGACTCAGGCCCTGAGAGCTTCACGGCCCGGGGAAGGGGAGTAGGGGTGTCAAGCAGGAGGCAGTAGGTGGGGGACAGTGTGGGCCTGGAAACCCAGAGGCCCTGCCAGCCTTTTCCCGGGCCAAGAGTCCCCATGCCAAGATGGAGCACGGCAGGCTTCCCCCGCCTCATGCTGCAGGAACAGAGTGAGGCTTTCGGGGAAATGCACCCAGCTGGGACGTGCTGACGGCAGCAGCACCAGGGAAGTCGTGACAGCCCCCCCCCCCCCCCCCCCGCCGCACTCAGGGAGTCCCCAGCAGGTCCAGGCCTCCGCGATGGAGTAAGAGTCAGTCACGCTCCCATTTCACAGATGAAGCACTTGAGCCTCAGAGAGGGAACTGCCTTGCCCAGGTCATTCAGCTGCTGAGCCACGGAGCTAGACTTCAAGCCCAGGCCCCCAAGTCCTGGCACCAGCCAAGAGGAAGGCTGCTGCTCTGGTGTCCAGAACTCACGCAGTGCCCCTGCTCCTTCTGGCACTGCTGTCTGACGTTCTGATTTGCAGAGGCCTGTTCTGAGCCAAACCTGACACCATCAGCACTTACATGCTTGGTTTTCATATTTAGTCATCCCTGCAGCCCCATCGTACAGGTGAGCAAACACCAGCCAAGGTCACCCAGCCAGCACATAGGAGAACTGGAGTTTGGACCCGAGTCTCTGTGACTGAGAGCTAACTCTCTGGCTAAGAAGGTGGTCCCTGAACTTGGCCTGGGTGTCAGCTGGGGCTGGGGCAGAGCCCTTGGCACTGGCAAAGGTAGAGAGGTAAACCCGAGGTATGAGCTGGGTGTGCTAGGGACGGATGGCAGAGGGATGCATGGAGGTGGAGGTGGTAGTCTTTGGATTTATCTAGTGGTCTTAGGAGGTTAGTCCTGCCTGAAAAATGGCTGTAGGGCCCATGGGCAGACTCCAGGCCCATCACCTTCCCACATACCCCGGATTCACCTGAGCACATCTCCTCCCAACCCAGGGCATTTCCTCAGGGCTTCTGGAAGGGGGTCAGGGCCTCCAACTGAAGCAGCCCTGGGCCCTGGGAGCCAGACCTGGCCCCTGCCAGGGTGGGAGGGACAGCCTGGACCCCAGCTCATTGCAGGGGAGAGTTTGAGTGCCCACTGCAGCCCTGCCCTCTCACTGTGAGATCTCTGAGTGATGACCTCACATGAAGAGCTGCAAAAACTTCTGCTCAGCTCCTCTCTGTGCACTTCAGAGGAGTGGGTTCCCCAAATCCATTAACCATTCACACAGCAAAATTCATGCTAGAACGACAGGCGCTGTTCCAGGTAATGGGGACACAACGGTGAATATACTCTGTCCCTGCTCTCGTGGCACTTGTAGTTCACAAGACAATGTGGTCAGTGCAAGGGTGGGAGAACGGCATCTGAGGGAGCTCAGAGGAGGGCCAGAGTTAGCCACGAGGCACGGAGGGCACCATGGGGGTGATGCGTCCAAGCTGGGAGCAGAGGATGCATCATCGTGCTCCATGGTGTGGGCGGGAGGGGGGGGGCATTCCAGGTGAAAGGAGCTGCCTGTTTGAAGGCCTGGAGCTGGAGCAGCCCCAGTGCCCACAGAACTGGAAGGGCCCCTGGGGCTGGAGTTCGGGTCACCTGAGGTAGGTGGAACCTGTGGCTGGGTCAGGAAGGCAGCTGTGCCAGCCGGAGACCTGAGTGTGTGTATGAGGGAGTGGGGACAGAGAGTGCGCCTCGTTGTACGGCTAGTGTACTCATTCTAGCAGAGACTCCCAGGTGACTGGAAGCCACTCAGCAGCCTCCATAACTGTGAGGCCTCTGCTCACATGCCTCTGGGGATGGGGAGCTCACGACTCCTAGGTGGCTCAGGAAACCTCTAGGTGGAAGTTGGCCCAAAGTTCCCAGAGTCTGGGCCTTGCACCGATCTCCCCTCCCAATTCCTGTCCCGCAGACGGGCAGGTCCTGCCTGAGACGGGTAAGGGCAAGGTTCAGAGTCGGAGGATCCACGGCTCCGTTTCTGCCTGGCCTGCACGGCAACTAGTCTGACCTCCAGGCCTTGGGTGCAGACACCAGGTGGGAAGAACCTGATGAAATTTGAGGCCTCTGTCCAAGCCCCCTTGCTGGGTAGCCTGGAGCACTTGGACACCCTCTTTGGGCTATTGTGGGACCAGCAGGATCAGGGAATGATCCCAAGATGCAGAATTACACAATCAATTTCAGGGACTCACAGATCCCTAAGGCCAGGCTCAGGCCAGCCTAACTGCTGCCCACACTAGAAATGGCCCGGACCTCACACTAACCCTGGGCTGTCCACCTAGACTCCCTGGGTCTCATTTTCCAGCTCCGCAGCATGAAGGTATCTCATCCATCTGTACTCAGATACGCCTGTGCACACATGCGCGTGTGCACACACACACACACACACACACACACCTTGAGGTCACCTCTGCCTGCTGAAGTCCCACCCAGTAAAACAGCTTAAGCAAAGGCCAGGAGACTGGCAGGTGAATGAGCAAGAAGACTCCTGGGGGCTGGAGCAGAGAGGATGAGAGTGGACTGAGATCGGCTCTGTCCCAGAGGAAAATGCTCTCAGGTTGAGTAACAGTGAAGGGACAGCAGGCAGAGAAACAGGGGTAGAGCTGGAAGAGGTTCCTGGGTGTCCTTGGTAAAACCTTATTGCCCTGACTTCATTATCACCCGTTTTACTTTGGGTAAGCCTGAGGCTCGCCCAAGGTCACACTCATTGGGTTGCTCCTTCCCAGGTTCCCAGCTCACTGCATTGCCCCATCTGAGTCATCCAGGTCTTCAGGCCTGTCTCCCACTCTGTATACCAGAGTGGAGGGAGCGACCCCTACATCTGAGCCGACCTAGGCCGGCTGGGACCCTTCCATCTGGCCTCCCTTTCCCTGCAAACCTTGGGCTCCCTAGGCAGTCTGCACTGAGCTGCCAGCCCTGCTGGGCTGCGTTGCGTGGTTGTCAGGATAGTGTTGGCCAGTGTTGAGGAGCTGAGCCTGAGCCCCTGAGCTGGAGGGGTTGGGAGGAGTGCAGGATGGGGATGAGGGAGAGTGAGGATGGGAGTGTAGGGTGGGCAGGCGCAGCCTGGCTTCTTCCCCTGCACAGTGGGATCCATGGCTCCTGCCACACGGGGTCGTTGTGAGTATGCCTGAGAGGCCGTGGGAGCCTGGAGTCTGGCGCACCGAGAGGGAGACCCTGGGGAAGGCGGCATCCCTGCTGAGGGCCTGGCACGCCTCTGCTGCCTGCTCTGCCCCGAGCTCCTGGAAGCAGCGCTATTGCGGACTTCTGGGCCACCTGCCAATGCTCAGACCAGACCCGCAGGCTCTGGTGGATTCTCAGTGCTGGGCTCGGGCTGCAGGTTTGGGGATCCTGGCAATCTGGGAAGCAGGGTGTCAGGGAACAACAGTGAATTCCCAGCCTGCTCTGCTCCCCCCACAGAAATCCGAGAGGCCTTCAAAGTCTTTGACCGCGATGGCAATGGCTTCATCTCCAAGCAGGAGCTGGGCACAGCCATGCGCTCCCTGGGCTACATGCCCAACGAAGTAGAGCTGGAAGTTATCATCCAGCGACTGGACATGGATGGTGAGCACTGCCCATTTCCTCTCCCTTCGCCTGGGGGGCTGGGGCTGGAACCCCTGGGGACTCTCACCCCCCCCCCCCCCCACTACCAGCCAACCCCAAGCCCATCAGCTTACAGTCAGGCCTGGCCCCATTTCCCAGCCTGGAGAAGCTGGAGAGTTGAGGCCAGTGTGACAGCCCCAGCTACACCCAGTAGCCCGACACTACCCATCCTGGTCTGTATCCTGAGAAAAAATTAAAGTACAGAAAGTAGAAAGAAGGATATACTAAATGCCCTGGGTCTGACCATTCAAAGTACAAAGTGATTTAGTTGTATTTGCCAACTGGCATTTTATTACGGAAGAAATCATAAGGACCAGTAATGACCAATACCCCCCTCACATAACCCCTGCCTCCTCTTTACTCAGAAAGCAGGTTGTCCCCCATCCTGAGCTTTGTGTCCCGTCTGTGTGGCGGGGGAATGTGGGCCCCACACCCGCTCTGGGGCAGCAGCAGGACCCTGGGAGCCATGGGGGCTTCTGAGCAAAACTTGAGGCTCTCCCATGTGCTCAGGGTGCACCTGCCGCACCCCACCCTCCACCTCGTCAGCGGAGCCTCATCACACTTGGGTTTAGCATCAGCCCCTAAAATTCAGGTGCCCCTGAAAGTGACAAGGCTTAGAAAAGGAGGGGACCTGACTGAGGTCAGACAGCTGCAGGCTGACCCCGCTGATTGGACCTGTGCCTGCTCTAGGTGATGGCCAAGTGGACTTTGAGGAGTTTGTGACCCTCCTGGGACCCAAGCTCTCCACCTCAGGGATCCCAGAGAGGTTCCATGGCACTGATTTTGACACTGTCTTCTGGAAGGTATGCTAGGGCGGGTGGGGACCCAGGGCTGTGCACACCGTGGAGGGCCGTACTGGGACCAGTGAGTGGCCAGGCCTACTCTGTAAAAGGGGGACGGCCACTTCGGTCTTCTGTCCACTGGACGTCTTGTCTCCCAGAGGGTCTCGGGCTCCCGGGAGAAGCTGGGCAAGTTTTTCCAGCCCTGCAGCATCTGCAGGCCTGTCCCGGCTCAAATGGCTGCAGGCGCTGGATGGGGACTGTGGGGGTAGTGGTGGCCAGAACACTGTCCCCTCCCACCCAAGTGTGACATGCAGAAGCTGACTGTGGATGAGCTGAAGCGGCTGCTCTACGACACCTTCTGTGAGCACCTGTCCATGAAGGACATCGAGAACATTATCATGACGGAGGAGGAGAGCCACCTGGGCACAGCTGAGGAGTGCCCCGTGGACGTGGAGAGTGAGTGACCGGCCCCTGGGACACACCCCCCCGGTGGGCCAACTGCTTGAGCAGGGGAGGAACCAGGGGTATGCATGGGGAGGGGGGTGCTGGGTCTTCCTCACCTGCCCCCAAGGCTCGTGTCCTTGTCGCCCCATGGGACAAACCCATGTGACAAACCCATGTGACTCCATCGCTCCACTGTCCCCTTCTGTCTCTCTCTGGTGCTCCCTGGCGGGTGGCCACAGCCTGCTCCAACCAGCAGATCCGCCAGACATGCGTGCGCAAGAGTCTGATCTGCGCCTTCGCCATCGCCTTCATCATCAGCGTCATGCTCATCGCGGCCAACCAGGTGCTGCGCAGCGGCATGAAATAGGCACCACCTCTGGGGCACACGGTGCACGGGGGGCCCTCCACACCCACCACCGCCTGCAGGCCTCTCCTCTGCTGCACCCTGGGCCACCACCACTGCGTGCATTTTGGGGCCTGGAGGTCCAGCGACCCCACCGCACCCCACCCCACCTGCCCTTGCATGGAGCCACGGCCCAGCTGTGGAGGGTCTGATGGTGGCTCTGAGGACGGCTCCCAGCCCCGCCTATACCCTGCCCCTGCCCCCACTGGCCTGTATGTTGCACCAACTCTTCCCACTGTCCAGGGGCTCTTGGGAAGTTGAGGGATTTGTGCAGGGTCCAGTAGCTGCTGTGGTCCCTTAGGCAGGAAGGAGCACCATGGGCCCAGAGCCACACAGCTAGTCCAACCCTGGTCTTTGAGGTTTGGACCTCTTTCTGGGGCAGGGTAGGGGGTGAGGTTAGGGTCTCCTGGGTCCTACCTCCTGGCATGGACTGAGAAGGCCCCTGGCCTTCTGCTGGGTCCCTTCCTCTGGGAGACTCAAATCCAGCTGCCCTCCACACACCCACTGGGGCCAGAGAACCAGCCTGTTTCACAGATGAGGGCCCAAGGGTAAAGGGCCCCCAGATTTGGCTTCGGTTCCCCTATCAGTAGGATTTTCAGGAAGGATAGAAGTTCAAGAAGGATGGGGCAACTGAGGTGCCCGCAGACCCCCACCTCCTGCGTCCCCCGAGAGGCCCAGTGGCCTGTGGGCCACACTGCCCACTACTACCCCAGCACAGAATTTAGAGCTGGAGTACAGTCGAGGAAGGAAGCAGTGGGGCCCAGAGGCCCCAAATCACCTGAGCAGCCTGTGTGATTTTCCTATCAGCCAGGCAGTTCTCCCGAGCCCAGAACCTGTCTTCCTGGGTCCCCCCGATTTCTCAACACAAACTAGGCTGGAGACTGAGCTCCCACCCCTGCCCCAGTTGTGCCAGCTCACGCTCGGACACCAGCTCAGCGTGGGGGGGCGTGGGGACTGGGGATGGCAGACGGAGTCCTTGAGCTCCTCTCCCCAGATTTGGAGTCACTTCTCAAATGGTGGTCACAGCCACACTGGCTGCCATCTGCTGGCTCCAAAGGGAGAAGAGCAGCAAGTGCTGTCACCCTGCAGAAGACCTTGTATCATTCCAGCCCTGCCCATCCTCTGACCAGGGGCCAGTGAGCTGAGGTCATCCGGCAAGGGGGAAGCGTAGCCATATCACCATAGCGACAGGCTTTCTTCATAAACATCCAGAAGCTAGTTTTCTCACCCGTCTTCTTAAGATGTCCCAGGACAGAGGGAGGGTGGAGCTGACCGGCAGGGCCAGGACCAGGACTGCACCTGGTGGGGGAGCTCCTGGGCCTCGCCATGGCCAGGCCAGGCTGAGCCAAAAGCTTCAGAGACTCCATAGGGCATGGCAGGAGGGGGCCTCAGCATCCTGGTATGAACCCTTTATTGTGACTGAAGTGGGAACTGGCTGGTGGGAGTCAGGTGGGGATGAGGGACTCAACCCCACTGGACGCTGGGCTGCAGGGGCCACCCCCCGGGTGGGGGTGCCCGCAGAGATGGAGGCAGCTCCTGGACTGGTGGCCAGCCCACTGGGTACTGGAAGACAGTGGCTCTGATGGGTTCAGCCCTAGAGAGAAGGAGAAGGGCAGAGAATTAGTGCGGAGCAGGCCCCCGGCACACCCTCCCCGCCATCGTGGCTGTGGGGAGGGTCAACCTTTCTGGAAGGAAGAGCCTCAAAAACATGCAGACCCTTTGAGCCAGCAACCTCCAGGAATGAACCCAGGGAAGCAGCAGGGTTGTGGGCAGAGACTGAGGTACGAGAAACAGAGCCCACCTCAGTGTCTGGCTGTGGGGACGGACCCCATGTCTATGCACGTCCACAGCAGAGAATGCTATGCAGCCCGTGTACAAGTTAAGGTGGACTTATATGCACTGAAGAAAGGCATCCTGATGTACTGTGTGAGTAGTAGCAAAAGCAGCTTATAAAATAATGTATATAGCATGATACTATTTTTGTTTAAAGATATATAACATATATAAATGCATAAAAAACCTAGAAGACAGCAAAGTGTTAGCAGTGGCTCTATCTGTGCGGCACAGTTATGGGTGGGGAATATATATATATATATATATATATATATATATATATATATATATTTTTTTTTTACTTTATACTTTTAAGAAAGGTTTTACAAGTCCGCAAGCCTTTGAAATCCCCGCCAAATATTGTCTAAAATATTTTTAGGGACCTCATTTCTCGAGCTACTCACTCTCCTTCTCCGTCAGGCCCGCCATCCCCGGGACCACCCCCTAGGAACCCAGGGCCTGTCTGAAATGCCCAGCCTGGGGCTGCCCTGTCCTGAGGAAGCTCGCTGAGGTGCAGGGACACCCTCCCCCACCCGCTGCTCCAGACCCTGACTCAGCTGCTGCTCTAGGGAGCGGCCGTTCCAGGGAGCGAGCACTCTGTGAGCTCACTTGGGAGTTCATGTCTCCCCTAAGGGACTGGAGCTGTCAGAGGGCAGGCACCAGGGGCTAGGGGTGGAGTCCATCAGGTCCCCCAGAGCCCAGAGCTGGGCCTGGCACAGGGAAGCCACCCAGCATGTTTGCTGATGACAAACAGCAATGCTAACCAGGCACTCTTCCAGACTAGACAGCACGGCCTAGAGAATCGCTTCGAGAAGCCCATTTTACAGATGAGGCAACAGAGGTGTACAGAGTCCGGCACATGCTCAAGTGACACAGTCCAGGGACAGGGGGGTAGAGGGCTGGAATTCGACCCACACATAGGCTCCAGATATATACTCTGGCTTCAGCTCCAGCAGCATCCAGCCCCACCCCACCCCCAGGCCCCACTTTCAGTGAAGGCGAGGCCTGTCAACTCCGGGCTGGCTCAGGGGCCCAGCGGCCGGCCCTCTGTGAGAGTCTGGAGAGGACTCAGGCCTCCGAGGTGGGGCTGGGGGACTTGGGGCAGGAGGCCTAGGAGTCTGCCTCCCTGTACCCACCCAGGCTGCCCCTCTCAAGGCCTGACTGGCTATACAGTCTATTTCAGGACTTGGGGCAGCCCAGACACAGCCGCTGGGGCCTCTCCTTGCTCGCAAACAGGGAAATCCCTGCTCAGCTGCTTGCTGCCTGTTGGAAAGCACGGAAAGCAGCTCCCAGCATGATTTATGGCCCTGGGGAGATTTCATAAACTCCACCAGCTGCAGAGAAGGGTGGGAGTCGGGGAGGCTCCACAGTCCCTGGATGGGACAGCCCCAGCTCCCTGCCAAGCCAGAGTTCTCGGCATCCTCCAATGATCCTGGGGGGCCCCTTCCCATGAGCCTCAGACCCTCCCTCTAGAAGGTGGGACTCAGGGCCCCTGCGCACCCTCAGGCTCCTAGCAGGAGAAGGGCACCCCCATGTGTGCTCACGGGCTGGCATGTTGCCCAGACCCTGATGCATGGGTCCTGAGCCCCTGAAGCGGCCCCTCCAGCCCCACACAGAGTGGACGGGGACGCTGAGCTGCACAAGTGGCATCGCTCTGCTCGTAGGTCTCCGGTGGCCAGTGTGTCCCGGACACAAGGACAGGAGCAGCTCTCGTTCTCCCAGCCGTGGTCTTGATCAGAAGGACAGAGTCTTTGGGGGGTGCACGGGCCACAACGGCAGCACCAGGCCATAACGGGGGTGAAGAGGAAGGTTAAGAGGGATAAAGTCACAATCTGAAGAGCCAACAACACAGGGCACAGACAAGCACTGGCTTCACCGAGGATTAGTCCGCTTGGCTGGGGCCGGCCTCTCCAACCCTCCACCGCTGCTCTGGGCAGACCCCTCAGGATTAGCCTGCCAAGGGACACAGCACAGTGAGCCTGCTGGGGCCCCAGGAAGCCTCCCTCTCCCCTGTTCTGGTTCACCTTGAGGGCTCTGCTCAGTCTGTGGGGTTTGGGCCCTCGAGTCTGGGTGGCCCCGGTGAGGCCAGGCAGCCCCTGGTGTCCTGTGCCCCAGGGCAGGAAACAGACACCCAGAGAGGAATAGGGGCCACTAGACCAGCCCCTATAAGTGGTCCATGGAATTGACACCTATTAAATAGTCCTCCAGGCTGGGGACCCTGCTCCCCAAAATGCTCTCTCATGCAGGCCACATGTCACCCAGATCCAAACCCCAGTGACAATAATGCAAGCTCGGGGCCATGATGGGGAGGCCGGGGGCTGGAAGGGGTGACGCCTTAGCCAAGTTTAAAGCATGAGTCTGATTTTGCCAGGTGTGGGAAAGTTGGGGAGCAGCTATAGGTGGAGGGAAACAGCATGCACAAGGTGCCCCTAACTCAGAAACACCCACCACAGCTAAGAAGCTGCCAAGTATCCAGGGCTACTAACATAGAGACCAGATGGGACAGGAGAGAAGGTGACCCCCACAGGCCCGGGAAGTGGTAGGGAAGTTCCACCTGAGGTGGAGGAGACCTAGGAGGGTTTAAGCAAAGGCCAGGCCAGCATGTGTTTTAGAAGCTTATTGGGCTGTTGTGGGGATGAACTGGAGGAGCAGAGGGGAGGCGGGAGACCAGGAGAGGCGGCCATGGCCACCAAGGAGAGCTTGGCTTTTGAGGTCACAGAGCACGTGTTTCCAGGGCTACCTAGAGGGGGACATGGGAAACAGGGCAAGGCAGGGTGGGGGGCAGCGTGGGTGCTGGTGGGGCTTGAAGCCATCTTCCCCCTCCCCTGGAAGGGCAGAGCCCAAAGCTCTCAGACCCAGGATTCGGGGAGCATTTTTCACAAGATCGAGCTACAGGAGAGGGCTGAGGAAGAGGGCAGCGATGACAAAAGCAAAGATAAATGTTCCCTCTTTTCTAACAACCCTCTTTTCTCGAGGCTGGACAGACCTGCTCTGCCCAGAGAATAATTCACTTTGGCTCTGAGCCCTGAGGAGGCAGGTGGATGGCAGGTGGACACAGAGAATAAGTAAGTGGTTGCTGGGAAAGCAGGTCCCCTGGAAGGGGCCACATTGGGTAGACAGAGAGGGAGAGGGCTGGGGGAAAGGTCCAGACCCTCCAGAGTCTGGGGCAATCTCCAGTTGCAGGCTGTACTCCAGAAACAGCAAGGGGTGGGGGGAGAGGCCAGGGGAGGGAGCACAGTTTAGGAAAAGCAGCGCAGTTGGACGCACAGGTGGCTCGTTCTGGAAGCAGTGCGCAGACTGAGGGGGGAGCAGGGCGCCTCCAGAGCTCCCCGTGGGGCCTCCCAGTGGCTGCAGAAGCCTGAGGCGCAGGCGTAAATCCCTGGACGATGATGGCCAGCCCCCAGGAGGTGCCCACGTGACTAAAATCAGCACCACAAGGAAGAAGGGATATGACACTCCAACATTTGAGTCATTTCTGTACTATATGCATTTTCAAGGTGAGAGGGCCAAAAACTGGGCACAGATTTAAAACAAAGATGAAAATCAATGAAGTTCATTGTACAATAGCTTAGGGAGCTCTCTTCATTGGAGCACAGAGGAGGCTGGCAGCTGGGCTATACCTTCGGGCGGGGCCCAGAGGGAAGGCCTCATCTCCACAGATCAGGGGCGTCAAACTCATTTTAACCGGGGTCCACATCAGTCTCTCGGTTGCCTTCAAAGAGCCAAATGTACCTTTAGGACTGTATGAATGAATGTAACTACTCCTTAACAGTTAAGCCAGAGGTCAGCGCTGCCGCCGGTTGAAACAAGGTGCCAGGTCAGATAAAACAAGGTGGAGGGCCGGATTTGGCCCGCAGGACTTGTGTGTGCCACCTGTGCCACAGACTGTCCAACCAGGCCCCTTGGCACAGGCCAGGCTGGCCACTGTCTCATAAAGCCACACCACAGAGCTAACTGGGTCTGAAATGGGGTGGTCCAGGGTAGGGCAACTTGTATGAAGTCATAGGCAGCCATGGCTCATCCTCCAGCCCCTTTCCCTCCCCTCCCTCTCCTCTCTCTCCTGGTGAAGAGCCCCGGGAGCCCTGGCTGGAAGAGGAGGACCTGGGACAGCACCCAGCACATACATGAGGGCCCGACTGAGGGTGCTCCCCATAAGTGCAAAGGGCGTACACAAAGAAATAAAGGACGCCGCGTCTACTTCTGAGCACCCTGCGTGCTGGTCCAAGCAGGAGCCCCGCCACAGGGGAGGCCTGGGACAATGACAGTAAGCCTGTTTTTACCACCCTGGCCACTCCCAGCTCAGTCTCTTTCCAGCCACGTGGCCTTGGGCCAGTCACACCCTCCTGTGAGCCTCACTTCCCTTCTGGCAGGACCGTAGAGGGGACACAGCAGTGACTGGGACACCGGGGACTCAATAACTGCAGTCAGACTCCTCTGGCAATGGAATTGGTGACGTGGAGTCAAGGAGGCCTGGCCTCCCTCCAGACAGCGCAGACTCCAACAAGGCAGGAGCCACTAAGGCAGCAGGATGAGGCCCAGGAATAGGAACTTTCGAACAGTTATGCCTCAGCCTCTGGCCAGATTTGGGGGCCCAAGAACCCCCAATGTGGCCCCTCCCTGGGGGAGCTTTGCTGGGGGCTGAGTCCCTGTCTGGCACCCAGGCTCCGGCAGTTCATGGAGATCGTTCACCTTCAGGTCAGGGCAGGCTGGCTGGGGTCTTGCTCCCAGGGGACATGGAAGTGGGGGCCCCACGGGGCCCGTACCTGCTGCTGGGGGCTGAGCTCAGCCGCTTGGCTCTCTTCTCCAGCCAGTCCTCCAGACGGCCCTCGGGGAGTTCCGTGCTGTCTACAGGCCACTCTCTGGCCCGCCTCTCCTCTGGGGGGAGAGGAAGACAGAGGCAAGTGAGGGGCAAGTTCACCCTACCTGAATCCCAGCCTCCCATGACACAGTCGGAACCTTCCTGGGAGGGCGCAGCCTGGGAGGCCAGGAGCACAGCCTCTGGCTTGTCCCCACTGTGCCACCACCTCCCCAGGCCTGCCCCTCCGGGCCTCACTCTGCCTCCGCATTGCATGGAGGTAAAACGCTGACTGCCTCCCACACTTTTTCGAGCTGGAATCAGGATAATGCCTGGGGAGAGCCTGGCCCTCGGAAGGAGTCCAAACCTGGGGTGCGGGGGGGTTGTGTGGGCTTCAGAACAGGGCACGGCAGGATTCGAATCTCGTCTAAGCCACCAGCGAGGTCTCTGACCCTGGGCAGGAGAAGAAGCCTTGGCTTTTCTGATTTTCCTTCTCATAAAACATCCTATGTAAATCTTTGCTAAGTTGAAACCAAGTAATGGAGGGAGTTCCAACAGGCTGGGTGTGAGGGGGCGTCAAGGTCTTGGGGGGAATGGTGCGGGGTGTGGGGTGCAGCCAGACGACCACGATCATGCTTGTGGACACTGCCTGGTGTGGGCCCGGCCCCGGCCAGCACTTTGAGTGCACCTACGCACTCCACCTTCAAAAGTGGTCACGTCTGACATGTCAAGACTCCGCCCCTGAAAGATTAACCCACTGGCCTGTGCTCTCTCCACCATGATGGACCAGTGGTACCCAAAAGCCCAGGCTAGTGAAGAGCAGCAGGTACTGCCTTGGCCAGGACTCGCTGGTCTGGCCCACGGGCCTCGCTTCTGCCTTAGGAAAGCTCCCGGAAACCCTGACTTTTGCCAGGGCTACAGCCAAAGTGCTGTCAGCTGCCCAGGGCAGGACATTGCCCACAGGGTCTGATTGGTCAGGGGATAGTGAGGCCCCTTGGGGCACAGGGCAAAGGCCAGGCTCCCCTAGGCACTCTGGCTGCCACAAGGCCACCCGGACAGAGTAAGCACAGCAGCACCATAGGAGACCCCAGTTGGCCTCTAACTTGCTTGGGGTCCACGCGAAGCCCTTCTGCCTGAGTGCTGGCCTCAGTTTCTCCCTCTGTTCAGTGAGGGGATGCATGAGAAGATTGATAAAGACCATCTGAGTGGGAACTTCCTTATTCTCCAGTTGGAGAAGTGAGAAGTGAATTTCCTAAAGGCAGACACGCCAGATTCCAGGGGAAGCTGAACTTGCCCTTCCCTGGGACCACGAGGCCCAAGGATCCTGAGGGCAGGCAAGCTGCTCTCTTTATCCTCTTGTCCCCAGAGTGCGGCAGGGGCTCACTGCGCGTTGCCTGACTGAGGCAGGGAGGGGGCACACAGGTGAACGATGTCAGGTTGGCAGGAGAGCCCATGTGGGGCTGAGGTGACCCTCAGCACTCCCTGAGAAGCCATGCCTGTCACTTTAAACCCAGCAGGGGACACGGATGGGAACTCCCCCACACTTCCTCCACTCATACCTGGGGTGGTTTGGAGGCAGTTTCTGACATCCACCCTGTCACCTAGGGCAGCCCTCCACCTACCTGCCGTGGCAGCCATAAAAGACGGGGCAGTGAGGAGGCACAGGGCAGCTTCCCGGGCCTCAGATCTTGCACGTCGCCCCCAGCAGCCCACCCCTACCCAGCCCCCGGTCCTGACCCAAACGCACCCTCCACCTGGATGCTCAGCTCCTGCAGGTCTCGCTCTGACATGTGGGAAAATCTGCAGTTGGGGCCAAAGTCGCACTGGCCTGCGAAGGGAAGACAGAGTTACTCGCTGCTCTGGAGGGGCTCCCACTGTGGGTGGAGGGGTCACTGAAGTTTTAGGGGCAAGACTTTAGGGACTAAGGAGCAGCACCCCCACCCTTGAAGAAAACCTGACTCTGTGGCCCTTGCCCACGTGAGCATTCAAAACAAGCTGTCTGGTCCATCATGCCTTGCTCATAACCCTTCCCTGGCTGGGGATCAAAAGCCACTGAAGCCTTTTGTGACTGGGTAGCAAGCCTCTTCAGGTCTGGCTCTCGTCATCACCTGTGGCCCCAGCCTGTTCCCAGCCTCAGCGAACGACATGCAGGTCCCTGGAAAAGCCATGCTTGCTCTCGCCACTCCAGGCCATGGCCCCTGCCGTGTCTTCCGTCTGGTGGCCTGTCTGCTCGTATCGCTGCAGAAGCAGCCGCGCTGCTCCCCAGAAAGGCTGTAATGGCAGCTTTGTACCAGTAAAGGAGGCACCGAAGTCCAGGGAGGCTTTCTGAACCTCAACCGATACAGCCAAAATGTGTCTCAAAATATCAGAGGACTGGAGGTGTCCTGGCCAGCGCAGTCCACCAGAGGCGTGTTCGCATTAAGGTGAAGTCCTTGGAGAAGCCCCCATAGGGGCAACACCGTCCCGAGGGAATGCACCTAGATTCCCAAGGTCAACAGCAGCACCTCTCCCCAGTGCTAAGTCCCCTTACAGGCCATGTCAGTCACTATGGCTTTCATCTTTGCCTTGGCTGCTAGGAAGCTCAGGCCCAAATCCTCAGCGAGTACATAGGACCTCAAAGCAGGCAGGGAGGAGACTAATTTTCCTGGCTTTGTCTTCTTTTTCCTACCATTATTTTTACCTGTGTTTGCTTCTTTCATCTACTGAGGTTTTTATCTCTTTAAACTATATGCATCGCCCTGACTGGCGTGGGGTAGTGGGTTGGGCATCGTCGGCAGATGGAAAAATTGCCAGTGCAATTCCCAGTCAGGGCACAGGGTTGCAGGCCAGGTCCCCAGATGGGGGTGTGTGAAAGGCCATGGACTAATGTTTCTGTCTCATCTCAGTTTCCCTGTCTCCCCTTCTCCCTCCTTTTCCCTCTCTCTAAATATATGTAAATAAATAATGAAATAAAAGAAAAACTATTGTATATATGCATCTTTATGAGGTGGGTATTGAGCAGCCAAATCAACACTTAGCATCCTTGGTTCCGATTCTGAACCTTCTGTGCACAGTCAGACCTGTCAGTACCTCCAGCCCTGCCTGCTGGGAGGGAGGACACAGCGGAGGTCTGGCTCCAACGCTAACTTAATCTGCCAGTCTATTACACCCGTCAGTGTCTCCCGGATTTGCACAATCTTCCAGGGCTTTCCTGTTCCGGCTGAGCTGATAAAATCGCATTCCAGGTCTGAAGAAGTGAGCGCAAGCTCCTTGAAGCCCTAAGACACAGCTCCAGGCCTCAACTGAGCAGTGGGCTGAGGCGCCCAAGGCCACAGAGTGGGTTCAGGACGGGGGCCAGGCTGGGGGAGAGGCTCTGCAGAGTTCCAGACAGGCCAGATGGGGCGTGCTGGCCCCTGGGGGAGCGGGAGCTGAACTAAGCAGAACACTTACCTGTCAGTAGAAACTTCCTGCAGGGCCGCTTGTTCTGTTCATCCAGCAGGATGGCAGCTGCATCTGTGAGGAGGGAGTGGCGGGGTTCAGCCCCGAGCTGCACGCGGCACTTCTGGAAAGGGCTCCCCACCCATGAAGGAGTGTAAGAGGGGATGGCCACGGATGGGGGTGCTGGGCAGAGGAACTCCAGCTCCGGGAGGCCACAACCCCTCCCGCCACCCCACCCAGACCCAGACAAAGGCGAGGACCAGGTTTTAGGTTAGAGGGTCCGAGCTTTGCGCAGTGGAATCACCTAAGAGGTTGTTTTTCTTCTTTTTAATTCTGGTACCGCAAGACTTTTCTGCCCTGTCTTTGCAACTTCCTGTAAGTCTGTAATTACTTCAAAGTAGAAAGCTAAAAAACCCCTCCTGGTGCCCAGGAAGCTCACCAGTACACCCCAGGGCTCAGGCGCTGCTCCACAACCAAGGTGGCAAGATTCTGCTCTCCACTCCCCCTCACATGGCAGCGGTGCGCCCTCAGCACCAGGGCAGTGGCTGACCTTGACAAAATTTGGCAATGAACTTTCTGGATACAAACCTTAACTCTGGTTTCCTCTGATTTTTTCTACCTTTATTTTCATGGTATATTTTTGTGTGCTTCTTGGTAGGCAAGGCAAGGAATCAATTCACTGAAATCTGGGAGTAAGACATGTGAGGAAGGTGCGCTGACTCACTGCCTTGATTGCACCTTCCAGGAGGCTTCCCCACATGTACGATGAATGGACCAGACTTGGCAGGGCGGCTGACTGTTCCTACACCTGAGGGCGCACCAGCATTGCTGGGAAGGTGGGGTTGGGAGTGGCCTCAGCATCAGGTTCCTGGGGTGACACTAAAGTGCAGCCAAGACTGAGACCTTGTGTAGCGGATGATCAACAAATGGCAGCACTTGTGATTTCATTTCCTCCTCACAAACCCCCTGAACACTATGAACACCCCCTTTGCAGATGGGGACACTGAGGTTCAGACAGGGGAAAAGGGCACACGATGAGGGAGCGGCAGTGCAGGTTTGAACCCTGGAATGTGAATCTAAAGCCCCCGCTTTCCTGTGTGGCTGCTGATCTCCTAGTTTCAGGGTGAGTAGCTGGCTCTGATGGGGGCTCCCCCTTCCTCTCTTCCCCAGGGTAGCTGGTGGCTGGGGGAAAGGGTGGGCTGCTGGGGTTGGGAGTTGGATATCAGAGGACTCTGGGGTGGCCTGGGGGGAGTGTGGGTTGGACCAGCAGGGTGGGGAGGGGTCCACCTGTCAGCAGTGGGATTGTCAGACTCAGTCCAGCCATCTGACGCCATAGAACTTCCCTGGGCAGGCAGACTGGTGGGAGCACGTGGACACTGCCCAGGGCCCCCCTGGGGGTTGGATGGCTGAAGCTGGCACGGTGGCAAGCCTACACAAGGGAGCCTGGCTGGGTGGCTCAGTGTTGGGAGAAGACTTCTAGGCCGCCCAACATCTGGCTGCTGGTGCTTAAGCCCAGCTACAGGGTAGAATCATCAGGCGGCTTTTAAAGAACACAGAAGCCCACGCCCATGCTGCCCAGGTCCTGCTTGAATTCATCTAATGAGGAAAGCATGAGAATTGTTAGAAGCTCCTCAGTGAGTCTGAAGTGCACCCAGGCTTGAGAACCCCGGGCTCAGGCCCCACGCAAAGAAGCCTGCGCTCCTCCACCTCGTGTTCAAGGCTCCTCGTGGTCTGACCCCATCTGTCCTTCTCGCTCCATCTCCCAATACTAACACCTGCCTCGGTGCCCTGTGTCTGTTTGCTTGTTCAATTAGACATTCATCTAACAAACATTTACTGAGCACGTCCTGTGTGCCAGGCTCCGTGCCAGGACGAGGATTTAGTGGAGAACAAGTCAGGCCTGGTCCTTCCTTCCGGTCCAATAGCCACACTAATCCACGCGGATGGAGAGAGGTAAACAGCCAGCTCCGAGCCAAATGGCCAGACCGGGCCCCAGCAGTGGGGCGGACATCCTGGAAGGCTCTGCCTGAGCCGAGATGGGAGGACCGGCCGGGGGCGGGGAACACAGCAGGCAGTAGAGGGGACAGTAACTGCAGTGGCCAGTGTGGCTAAAGCTCAGAGGGAAAGGTCAGAGGGCATGGAGGCCTGGGTAGGACAGGGGTTCCACCCAGAACACGCTGCTGTCACTGGGCATGAGGTCACTTAGGAGAGGCCTTGCTTTATTCACCCGTTAAGTCTTCAGAGGCTCTCTGGGAGGTGAGGACATGCCCAGGGCTTACTGGGGTAAGAGCTCCCTGGGCGTTAGCTGAATGAATGAGCCTGGAGATACAGGGCCTGAGGCCGGCCCTTCTGTGGACCCTCAGGCACCTTTCCTACTGAGTGAACTCTTGATGCCATACAGTAAGCATGAGAGGACCGAGATTACATGTCCCTGGGAGTTGGGTGCTGCTAGTATGGCTGTTCAACGGCTGATTAAATTAAGGCCATGCTGTTAGTGACACCTTGGGTCTGACACCCAGAGAGCTCAGCTCTGGGGCCTGAGCTGGTCCTGATCACGGTCAGCACTCTGACAGGACAGAAGTTAAGGGACTCGTCCGTGGACATGAAACCTGGAACAGAGCAAGAGTTGAGTCCTGGCCCACGCTGGGGTACCACGTGCGCCCCTGCCCCCTGAAGTCTGCACTGTGCGGTTGTTTGGGTAAAAGCTGGGGCCCTGGGGAAGCCTCTTAAGGAAGTGGAAAGAGCTCATATGCCAGCTTAGGGTCCCCAGGGTGGAGCGACCCGCTGCTCTGGTTTTCAAAGGCACCGCCTGAATTAGGGGCTCCCAGCCAGCCCAGGCCCCCTCACAGATCTGTTCTAGGGACTGAATGTGGCTGGTAAGGTGAGAGGATGCTGGAAATGCAGGAGCCCTGACAAGGGGCTCACCTGTTTCATCTTTTCTATGAGTAACACAGCAGCCTCTGATGATCAGCCCTGGACCCTAGGTCCTAGCTGCTCTCGGCTGAGAGTCTGGGACTAGGGGCAAACACCAGGGTGACCCTGAGGCCCAGTTCCATGCCAGATCACAGCCCCCGCTGGCCTTGGGGGACAGCATGTCTCTGCCTGGCACCAGGGTCAGAGGCCTGCCAGGCACCTAGGAGGCCCCTTGCCCCCACTCCCACAGCCCTGTAACTGCAGCTGTGTCTGGCCAGCTGAGCAGCCTGGCCACCCTCCTTCATCTGAAATGGGGCAAGTCTGGGAGAGCTTTCAAAATACCATGCCTAGGCCCCACCCCAAACATGCCACTGGGGATGGGGTCAGGGGATCAGCACTTTTTAATTTCAAGGTCTCCAAGTGATCCCAACTTCAAGGACTGAGATCCCCTGACTTAGAGAATTATTGAGAAAAGCAAATGACAAGACATGGAAGGCACCTGGCATGCTGCAGGCACCCAATAAATGCTCACTCCCTTCTTGTAACTTCTAAGTCACAGACCAGGGAATTCTCTCTGCCTCACCTGCTCCTTCCTTCTCAGCAACTGGAACTAATAACACTCTGCCCAGAATGGTGTAGCTGGCTTTTCCCTGCCTTTTAGCTATCGGCTCAAACATCGCCTCCTGGGAGGGCCCTTCTTCCTGGCCACAGTGTCCCCAGAGCCTGGCAAGGCATCTGAGAACCAAGCCCTCGGTCGAGACCACTGGGGAAAGGTGCTCACACTCCAGTCTGACCTTCTGAGGGCTCCCAGTGCTTCCACGTCTGAGGATGAGAAAGATCAAAGAGCAGGGCTCCGTCAGCCGGGCCAGCGAGCACCCACCTCGGAACATGTCGTACCAGGACTTCTTGGCCTTGAGATGCTGCAGCCCGTTCAGGTGCTTCTTGCGGTTGTGGAGGTTGTCCTGGAAGGAGCGGTCGCAGTAGTCGCAGAAGTAACGCTTCCCCATGGCCACCTGCACCAGGTGCTGCCACTGCCTGGGAAAGCACAGAGCACTCGTTCAGAGCGTGGAGTAGACGCCACGTGCCAAAGCCCACAGCGCACCACCCCGACGGTGCGCTTCCTGGGGGCCAGGCCTGCGCTGTGTGAGGAAGGCGTTCTGGACACTCTCTGCCTTGGTTAAAACTCAGTGCAGCCCATGAGGAGCTACGTGGGCCAGTGTCTGGGAGACCTCACTTCAGAGGGGTTCTGATGCCCAGCCTCCACCCCAGGCCAATTAAAGCAGAGCCGAGTGGGTGAGGCTCAGGCTCCAGTATTTTTAAAGCTCCCCAGGAGATTTTCATGTGGCCTGCTGCCCCCTCCACACCTCTGAGTTCCTCTCGACTGTTTGCTCCCTGCCCTCTCCCTGCCCTTCACACACACAGTGCTGTTCCCTCTGCCTGGGTGGGTACCTGCCAAGCCTGCTCACTTGACCCCTTCAATCTTTGCTCAAATACCGCCTTCTCAGTAATCTACTGTGACCACTTCATTTAAAATTGCAGAGCCCTCAACCCTCCACTTAGCTCTCCCTATTCCCTGCTTCACTTTTATCACCTTGGAAGCAATAAGTTAGTTGTTACATTTACTATCTTTTCTCCTGGTAGGAAGATAAATCCTTGCAGGCAGAGATATTTTTGCTTTGTCTATCGCTGAAGCTCCAGCACCCATAGTGATGCGTGGTACCTAGCAGGCAACCAAATATTTCCTGAATAAACAAGTTAATTCCCATTTTCCTTAAGGGACAACTGAGGTTCGACAAGGGGAGTTGCCCAAGGTCATGCAGCTGGTAAGCAGTAGGTGGGCCCTGGTCCCCTAAAACCCAGCTCTTCCACAGCCAGCTCAGTGCTTAGAGAAGTCAGGGGCTCAGGCAGAAATGCCAACAGCGTCCCAAGGAGATTGGCTAACCTCTCAAGGGGTAGGTCCCCAGCCAATTGCAAAGGGAAGTGAAAAATGAGACCCTGAAACATTCTTATTTCCCTCTGTCTTAAGACCCTTCGGCCACAGTGGCCACAGCTGCCACTCTGGACCAGGAGGTCTGCAGCCCAAGGCAGAGGTGAGTCTGCGGCTCTTGTGGTGTCCCAAGGCCGGGGGAGAATCCACCGGGCCATCAGGTAGGATCTGCACAGGCTGAGCCCAGACAGGCCCCTCGCCCTTTGTTCTGTATTATGACCCTTCATCTCACAGAGCAGGGTCCCGAGGTCCAGAGGACAAAGACAGGTAACTTGCCCAAGGTCATGAGGTAGCAGCTCAGGGTAGCAGCAAAAGCTCCAGACTCCCTTGATGAGGCAAATAAAGATAGAACTGGGACCTGCCCCACAGGCTGGACAGATGGGGAAATGGATCTTGTCAAGAAGGGACTGGAGGGACACAAGACAAACAAGCCCCCTGGACAGTCCAGGGAGCCCCAGGAGCTGACAGAGAAAGCTGCTCCTGTGGCAGACAGGGACAGCAGCCATTAAGTCGAGGGCCATAATGGGATTAGGAACAGACAGTCATTTAAAATGAAAACATATAAAATCTCTCTGTTCTCCCGTTACTGCTGAGAAACCGCATCCCAGACACATGGACTTGATATATTAAATTTGGCAGCTCTAATATACCCCATCTTGCCAATAAACTTATAGGAATTGGATTGAAATCGTAAGAGATGAACGTTTAGGCTGAAAGCTTAACTAAGCCATTCATGCAGCTCGAGGCTCCTAGGAGCTGCTGGCTCTGGAGAGTAATGGGAAGGGGAGGGGCAGAGGGAGGGTGTCCCTCAGGAGACGGACACAGAACAGTGGCCCTGCGGCAGACTCAGCTGGACAAAACCATGCCGGGCACTGCGCAGCCAGCTGGGCGACCTTGGGCAAGTCACTTCCGCTCTCTCGGCCTCTCCTTTCACTGTGGGAATGAGGCGGTGGGTCTGACTGGTTGCCTGATTATCTGGGGAGTAGTACAAAGAATTCTGCTAACCCAAATGAACTAGTAGCAAAAGTACTAGCAATACAGTGACACTAATAATGTCCAGTACTGAGGAAGGACTAAACAAATATTACCTACCACTTGATTTGTTGTGCACCTACTATGTCCTGGCACTAGACTGAAAGCTTTATAAATACATCATCTCAGGACAACCTCTGTAGTAGGACCTATTGTTACACCTTTTCAGGAGAGGGCACTGAGGCTCCAGTAGGTGAAGTCACCAAGATCACGCCACCAGAAAGCAGCGGGGCTGGGTTTAGAATCCAGGCAGGCAGCTGTACAGCCCCTCCGAATCACTCATGAAACTCTCCTCCAGACAAAGCACACTGACGATGGCTTTCCTTCATGAATCACTCACTACACCCCCAGGACCATGTGGGCCCAGAGGCAGGTGTTATAATCTCACTGCTGAATGAGGAAACTGAGGCTCAGACAGCAGCTGTGAGGGGCTCCCGGGAGGGCACGTGGAGCAAGGAAGGGCAGAGTAGGTCTCGGGGGCCTGGGGCTCGGGTCCGCTGAGAAAGCCTCCCACCGACCCACTGGGAAACCAAGGCTCAGCAACACTCGGACCCAAATGATAAGCCCCCTAGGGCTGGGCGTGTGTGTATGCGTGTGTGTTCACGCTTTCCTTCTCTTGCACACACACACAGTGGGGGGCAAATCAGCCCTGGCATAGGGCTGCAGCAGCAGCTTTGCTGTGCCCACCCTGGCCACTCCCTCTGGCACAGGGGAAGCACTCAGCCACCAGAATGGGCCAACGGACCCCCACAGTCTAGTCCCATATCTGCCGGGTGACGCTGTGACTCCATCTCTTGCCCTCTCTCTGGGCCCGTGCTGCCATGTGTGAAGCAGCAGGTGGGCAGCTCAATCAGACCATCCAGGTTTAAATCCGGGTTTAAAACTACTGCTTTCTAACTCTGTGACCTTGAACAATTAACTTCTTCCTGGGAAAACAGCGCCCACCTCAGGGGTTGCTGGGAGTCAAATCATCCACATACACATCTCAAGTAGCACAGGGCCTGGTCCACAGGCCTCAGAAACGTGTTGGTTGTCCTCATCCTCATCTTCAGCCTTCCAAAAGCCCATGTTTCAGAAAAAATAAGTGCAGAACAAGGAATAGGATGCCATTGCCCAAGTGAGCAGCTGGTACGTACTACGGATGAGGCGAGTAAGGTCAGGAGAAGGGAATTGAGTGCACAGGACACAGCAGGGGTGGGCCCAAATACCTGCTCTTCACAGCAGTTCTGCAGAGCCCCCCCACCCCCCCACCCACTCGGGGATGGTGTCAGGGGAGCAGACAGGCTCCAGGGGGCCAGGGCTTCCCGCCCACCTCGCAGGACTTCTTCCTGGAGGCAGAGGCCCCTCCCTGGGCAGGAGCTGGCCTTCAGCAAGGTGACCTCACCAGGCACCACCCAACTGCGTCCTGTTCCAGTGTGCTGGCACACATCAGGACAAGGTGCGGCTGCAGAATCCTCTGGAAAGATACAGCGCTCGCCAGACACACAACTTGGCGAGCAGACTCGCCCCTCAGCCAGGTGCCCTTGCACAAGGCACAACCGCATCACTGCACTTGACAGCCCCGAGTGGGAGGTCAGGGAGAGGGGATGGGGACAGCTGGACATTTCCAGTGACGTTCATACACCAGCATGGGCTGCTGACTAAGCTGGCCTTCTCTGCTGTGATTCATCCTCATCCACTGAGGCTGGTGCGCTCGGCAGCCTGTGAGCAAGGCCCTGTGTGGAACTCGGAATAATCTGGCCTGCTTCCTTGCTGGCCGGGAACACGGGTGGAACCACTCACCCAGTCCCAGGGCCCAGGTGAATGGTTGCAATGGCATTTGCCAGGTGACAGAATGGCTCCTTGGGACAACCCTGTTGGGTCACAAAGGTCTGGGTTTGAATCCCAGCTCTGCTGGGTGACCTCTAGAAAGTTATTTCATCTCCCTAAGTCTGTCCTTAGCTATAAAAGAGGAACCCCACTGTTGCCAGGGACTTACAAAGGCAGCAGTAGGCTAAGATGCCTAGTACAGAGTTCATGCTCCAGCGGAGGCTGTTACTGTTGCTGCTGTTTGTTGTCCAGAAGCCTCATCCCCTCACCCTCCTGGTGAGCACACACTGACCACCTGATTTAAAACTGCAGGCTCACATTAGCGAGGGCACTCTCCCCCGCCCCGCTAACAACCTGCTCTGTTTCCCACGGGTCACCTCACCTTCTCACAAGCTGCCACGTGTGGCTGCCCCCCCACTAGAATACAGGCTCCATGAGGGCAGAGAGTCCTGTCTGCACCCAGCATCTGGAACAGGGCCTCGCCCACACAGCTGCACAACCGCTCGTGGAAGGAGTCTGCAGAACCCGAGGTCTCCCACCCTGTGCTCACTAACATCTGCCAGGCCCTCTTTCCTCACGTTTGAATCTGGGGACAACGACATGGATGGAAAGAGAAGGCAGTGAGAAGAGAGACACACGGGGCCCCAAAGGCAGGGGTCTCAGTGCCGGGTGGTGCTCAGTGCTGCCACCACCTGCCCCGCAGGGCTCCAGCCTCCAGTGGAGCCCCCTCCCCACTACTAACTTAAACCACACCTGGCTACCCCGTGGCTCCCAACTTCAGTCGTCTGGGCTCAAGGAAGAGATTACCAACCAGCTGAGACACTTTGGAACAGAAGAAAGAATCAAAGAGAATGAGGGTGAGGGAGGGCGAAGGAAAACATCTTCGTATTTGATTCCTGCGTGCTGGGCTTCTGCCTTTCACTCTCCTGCTGAATCCTCAGCGAGACCCTCTGTATCAGGCGCCTGTTCACAGACGTGGACACAGGTTCAGAAATGCTCCCAATGTGCTCAAAGCCAAGTCTGGGAGAGACACTGATAATGGTCATTTCTCTTCAGCCTGAGTGCTGCTGGCGGGCCAGCGACGCTGAGGACCCCCACGTGGAGCCCACTGCTCGTGTGAGACCATGCGCCGGGGCCTCAGAGCCAAGGCACACCAGAGCCAGCTCTCACTCACTCTGGGGTCTGGCTGACCCCAGAACGCTCTCTG